CTTTCCCTCAACTTTATATGCAGCCTTTTAAGCATAGCTTCCAAGTTCCTTATTGGAAGGGCTGGCTTATTATCACTGTCCTTTTTGTCAGTCATGATCTTGGGGGCACCATCAATATCAATAGAAAACTTCTGGTGATTCCAGCAGACAGCAAATCAGATATCCTAACGCAAGCTCAGACACAGATAACCAGTTCTTGTGGGCAGTAAGAGCTTGGTGAGAATGATGCTGATAATCCAAGCTGCGACAAATTTTTCACACCCAAAGGGTTATACAGGAAGTTTGCTTCTCTGAAGCCTGGAAATATTTTAAGTTTTTCCTTGAAGTTATTTAAGGCAAAGGGTTGAAGCAGTAGTGAAGTAACTATGGATGAACAGTGTCTTGAAAGGAAGGAAATAAAAGATTTTTCTTGAGAGGATTTTTCTTGTAATGCTCTAAGTAACTTTTCTTACGATGATGCTTTCACCCCACATGTAATTTTGTCACCTCTCTTCCCAAGTAACTTTAAAGATTTTGACAATGGATATACTCACAGTGTTCTATTTTCTCCAGATTCTACTGTGACAGTTGCAGCTCCTAGTTTAGGAAAAGTTGGGTTTAACCAGTTGTTGTTCCAGAGGAATTTAACCTTTGTAATTGTTCCAATGTTAACTTCTGCATCAATGAATTTTACATAAGTGTTGTCTGGTTTGAGGGCTCCCCTGTGAAAAATAAGATTTTATGGTTATGAGACATACTAGCATTTAATATTAATTACCAGTCCTGTCAACTGATTGGCTGTGGTAGCAAGTGAGTAGAAAGCCAGCAGAGACAATATTTAGCTTATAATACGGTAACAACATTATTGCCAGTTTTCCAGTATAGTTTATCCCCAGTCAGTGTTTGTCAGAAGAAGCAAAGGTGAGTAGGTCTGATATGCTGCAGTCACACTTCACAATGAAGACCCAATTACAGGACAATCCCTGTGGAGAAGGTAGAGCTTGCTCCCTGTTGCTTATGAGGTCAGCATTTTTGCACATGAATGAAAATTTCATTTAATGTTGATTAATTTGTATATAAAGATCCTCTCCTTTGCCCCTTCTTACTCCCGTGCTCTGAAGGTGAAGGGCTACTTTCCTCGATTTACCCCTGGTGTATGAAGTCATGAGGTGTTTGAACATGTAATGCTTTTAGCACTGCAGAACTGTTACTCTAGGCATGATCTGAGATACAGGAGTAGAAAAAAACAACAACAGAGGACCCAGCAGAACCATCTAGAAGAAACCTCACAGTTTTGACAGGTTTCACGAGAAAGACAGAATTTTTATTCCTTCCTACATCTTTGCCATCTCTGATTCATCTGCCTTCAGAGGAGGATGCTTACTCCCCTCCGTATCAAAAGGCTTATGGTAGTGGAAGTACTGTAAGACAGGACAAAATTCCCTGTGCCTTTTGTTTCTTTGCTGGATCCACAATGGTATCTGGTTGGTTAGAGCAAGATTTGCTGAGGGAAAAAGTTTGCTTCCAGCAACTGAATTGACACAGGCTCTGTAAATGGCAGCTGGAGAATGCTGGACTGTGCTCAGAACCGGCAGACTTATCTCACGTGGGTGCAAGGGTACCTGAAATGGATCGGCTCATAGAAATGCCTGCTGCCCAGTGTCCATAAACAAAAAGAAAACCAAAAATTAAAATCCAAAACCCACATCAAAATGTCTTCTTCCTATTTTTCAGCATTTCAGGTATTTTAGTTGAAACAAACGTGAAAAATGTGAATAAACACAACCCACATGAGGCAAGCAAGCAGCCTCAGTGTAAGCAGGCAAAGTGATGAGACAAAAAATAGATGTATTAAATGTAGTAAACCGTGATGTAACTTTAACTGTAAGCAGCTATGGCAGCAGTATTTTGCCAGCCTGTGAAACACAAAAAATCAGAACTCTGCTACCATAGGCCCAGCAAGAGCTTATCGGGACAGCAAAAAAGTGACACCAAATTCTGTCATTCAGAATCCTTCTCCCTGCAAATGTAAACCCAGAGTGAGTGAACTATGGCTGCGTTTACATTGAGGGTAGAATTTGATCTTTCAGTAAGACCCATTTAAACAGAAATATTAATTAAAACAGGAATTAAACATTCTAGAAAAGAAGCTTCTTTTCTACTGAATTTTTAACTTACTGGACAATCTGATGCTGCCTTGTGTTTCCATCCTCTCCATACAGGGCAATATTTACATATCCTCTTTGTTTACTCTTTCCAGAGAGGGTCACACTTACTTTGTACCTCCAAACTGCACAGAAGAAATACGGTAGATTAGGTTATACCCAGAGAATAACGGTCTCCAAAATATCAAGTGTGGGGCTTTCTTTGGTCTGTAGTTGAAAGGAAAAGAAAATTGTCTCTGCCCTTCACTTTGAGCTCAAGTCTATGTCATGGGCTGTCTGGATTCAGTGGCATTAACACAGCTCTCCTGCAGGGAGTCAGATCTGTCCTTGTGTCCCGATGAGATCAACATGAGAAATGGGTAGAACAAAGCTAGTCCATGGCAGGGTAAACAAAATACAAACTTCAGCGTTTTGACCATGAAGATTTTTGTGACCTCAGAAAGAAGGAGGTGCTAGGAATAAATACTCACACATACCAGAATATAAGCAGCGTAGGTGGAGTATAAAAAACCCCTGAAGCTCAAGAAAAATCATTTTTGTTGGTGAGAACTTTAGCACTCATCAAACGCAGCTCTTCTCCCTCTGATTCTTCTTTACAAAGCAAAGGAGGAACTGTCTGGCGAGAGCTGACATTTAGGATAACTTAGGTTGTGAAGGAGGGCATCTGGTCCAAAGCAAGGCCAGTTGTGGTTGGCTTGCTCTGGGCCTTTGAGGGAGTTTGGAACATCTCTAAAGATGGAGAATTCCCGGTTTCTCTGTGTCCCTCTTCCTGCATTTAAGCACTATCATTGTGACAGTAGTTTTCATTCTATTTAGTACAAAATTCCCTTGCTACAACTTCTGTGCATTGTCTACCCCCATTTCTCCTCACATGTTGCAGTGCAGTCCACTAAATATCTCAGTGACCTCCACTAGACTCTTATTATGGTTTGTCAACATCTGTCATGTACTGGAGGACCCAAAACTGGGCACTAGTATTGGAGCAAATAACAGAAAGGTGTGAAGGACCGAAGAGACATTGCACTCCTATGAGGTCTGTTCATCTGTTAAAATTAGGTGTAAACCAGGAAAATAAAAAGGTTTGTTTAGAAGAATTAGGTATCAATGGAAGCAATCGTAACTCACGAGGAAAATCCTTGGCCTCTCCAGTATTCAGGTAAAATTTTGTGAAATCAGCTTTGAATTTCCCTTTGAATTTATCTGCAAAGTGACCCATATTTGGGCATCCACCTTCTGGGCATGGGAAACAATTGTCCTAGTGAAAACAAATATATCTATTAATAAAACTGTCCAGCCAGCCAAGAAAAAAATATTAGTTGTAGGACTTATTTTCACATATTCACCTAACTGGCCCTGTGTCACAGCAACAAAAAATTCAAGTAACCCTTTCTGTGACTTGAGAAAGATCATATACGCTAGCCAACTTTCTCAAAGGCTCTGATTTTTCTGGGATCTATGGAGTTGTTTTGTGCCATTTAGCTCAATCCAACCACATCAATGACACCCCTGAGTAGTCTTGAAGTGTAGCAGGGAACAGGAGATGTCCTTCCCAGTAACTGATGAGAAAGAACGATGACTCCATATACTTTCAGACTGGGCTAAGAAAGGCTTTGTCTTGAAAACAGAGCTCATTTTTGTCATGAAAGTAATTTTCTACTATGGTGGTAAACATGTTCTTCAAAAGTAACTCAAGAAGTGTGATCAGAACGTCTAAGGGTCAATCTAAACAAACTGTCTGTAGAATATGAAGAGCCCATTACCCCTCTGCTACTCTTAAGCTGTAGTTCCCCATCTCCCAGAATGGGACAGGGAAGGGCTTCCTGGTCTTAATCCAAAAAAGTTTGTGCTTTGTCCTTGAGGCTACCTTAAGTCACCAAAGCACTTTGATCATGGACTGACCCCATCAGGTGATTATTCTAGTTTTGAAAAAAAAGACATTTCATCTGTGTTTGGAAGTTCACCTGCTTGCTGATTCCTCTTATTGCTGTTTGATAAATACATACAGTGGTTATGGGGATGGGCTCTTCTCACTTCTTCCCCTGTTTGATGCAGCAGAGAAGGCCTGGGGAAGCCACACTAGCTCCAGCAGTACCTCAGGGCTGTTGCATCAGCACAGAACTAGTGATGTCCCTGTTTCGTTGTTGCCTTTTCCTACTTTGATCCATTTCATCTGCACAAGATGTAACACTTTAGGATGTCTGACACTTCTCTTACAGATGCGCTCATTGATTGCAAGGTGGCATAAATGAGATGAATTTCTGATGTACAGGTAAGAGCCACTATTTTTTACATGGTCCATAATCATGAGGCTCTGGGAAATACTTACTGAATCAAAGACATCGTAAGAAGCACAAGGATATCCCAGAAATCCGTCAGGGTAGATAATACTGTCAGAGTAATACTTGTAACTCCGCAAATGATTGCAAGCCACAAAGTCCCGGGTTCCTGTGAAGACACCCCCAGTTTAGCTCATCTTTTCTGTTGCCCTTCGAGGAAAGATACTGGCACTGGGATCCACCTTTCCTCCTGAAAGGCCTCCTGACAATTCTTGGAGCATCAAATGTAAGGTCTGAAGCTTGCTGCTGCAATGAATTGATGCTCCAGGCAACGCGACTCACTCAACAGGTATAAAATGAAAACTCGAAGTGCTTTGTGGAGACTCTCTCTGCAGCTCGGCTCTGCCCCTGCCTCCCAAGCATTTATTCGAGCAATCTGACCGAGTTTCACAATAGAAATGAGAACTGCATGAAGCAGGTCTTTTGTAAGCAACGGTTGCATTACCATAACAAAAGAAAACCGAATGAAAAGTATTTAACAGTGAACTTCCTAGAGCAATACTGATTCGCTCCAGCTGAGGACTTCAAAACAAAATTATTATTATTTGGGAGGGTGCTTAAGTAAGGGAGACTCTTAAAATAATGAATATATTATTTTCCTTTGTGTTGCCTTTATTTTCCTGACTTTAGGTTAAGAAGAAGGTCATATACAACACAGTTATTTCTTTATGCTTTAATTCACCATTATTGATAACAAGTTTACTCTATTAAAAAAAAAAAAAGAAATAAAAAGCAATGCCTCCAGCTGCATTGAGTAAAACCTGGAGAAAAAGGCTAGTTATCACAAATAAGTTCATGGATTCCCAGAGTTTAAGATGTTTGTGGTAATGTAAAAAGAGCTCAGATAATATACTGAAAAATCCCTACAGCATAAATCTTGATTTGGATTTTTTTTTGATGTTGTGTGCAATTTAACTTTATAAAGACATGTAGAATTTTTCTAATGTTTAGAGGTTTTATTAGAACCATGTAAACTGACAAAGAACTATCTGAACAGCTATGTGCCAATCTTTTTTTAGCTGACTAAAAACAGACACAATGACATTGCTTTAATGCAACCCAGATTGTAATAGGCAATTAAAAAAAAAAAGTTAAATGAATTTCTCTATTGCAGAGGAACTGCAGCTGAAGATACCCTAACAGAGGTGGCTGTGAGCATCATTGCCCTACTCCACACAGTACTGCTGCTGGGCAGCTGAATGGAAAGAAGGTGAAATGTTTTGTTCCAAATCCCTCAAAATTTTTGGCTCAGTTTCAGTAACTTTTGTTTCTGCTGTTAGACACTTTAGAGCAGGCATGTTTTCCAGAGGCAAACCCTTTGCTTTGTTTATCTTTTGAATAAGCTCTAGAAAATGGTGTGTTTTGGGCGCTATAAAATTCCACTACCCTCTGCAGCTGTTGTTACTGGGGGACACACCAAAAGCTAACACAGAACACCTGAATTAAGAAAAGTTGATACACTGTGAGGAGTGCCTTTCCCCTGAATTTGTGATGTAATCAGCATACTTACCTTCCCAGATGCCATCGAGGTCTACGATCTGTGAAATAGCGTTCTTGTCACATCCTGGCATTTCCACTCCTCCGTTTGGATAAAAGTCAAGATGTCCTATAGCTGTGCTCATGCCAAAGCCTGAAGCATTTAAAGTAGGGGTAAGCACGTTTTTAAGTTAATATTCTTATACCTATAGCTGCTGGTCTGAAGGTTTTCTGTGCTTGGTATTTTAGGATAGGAGCAGTTAATGGCTGATATGATGTGTTTGTTCTCTGTCTATGCACCAGCCAGCACAACTGGGTCTTGGTGAATGATGAGTATACTTAAGTGCCTAGAGCATAAATAACTTGATATTAATAGAGTAGAGCTGAATACTCACCTAAGTAGGGGATTGTGGGAGCTGAATCTGTGTGGATAACATCGACAAACTCTGCGTCAGATTTGTCCAACCTGACTTCAATTGGAGTGTCTTGAAAATAAGGTTGAGCAGGGTCCAGGCCTGAAAGAAAAATACTAGCGTTATGTACAGGTAAGGAGATGTAGATGTATCATTTTATATAACACTATGATTGTATATAGTAAGTATTGCAGAAGTAGCTGCCTGTGGTGCCTTATATCTAAGTAGCATAGGCATTAATAAAATGATGATGTGTGCTCTCTTTTACCAAGTGTCTTTTCTCCCAGGAAGGAGAAATGGTTGCTTGTGTGAAGCCTATTAAATTTTACTAACCTACATCAGTATTGAATCCCAACACTTGGATATAACATTTTATGTGTTTTTAATTGAACTTCCCTTTAATGTTGCTCACATTGGGGTTGTTAGGTCTGGGTCCCGTGTAACTAATCGATCTGCATTATCTCTGAATACCTTGTTTGAGAGTACTCAAATAGGAACTGATGCTGACCCCATGTGCTTGGAAAGGTTGAGACCAGTCTGGATACTTCTGGCTCCAGTCAGATTTTGGAAAAATATTTAGTTTTAAAATTGTGAACTTTGCTTTCGATCCTAACAGAAGACAGAATGCATTTGGTTCCCAAATTGCTGCAGCAATTTTGGGAGCTTGTAAAGTCTTGCAATTTACACAATTTTTGCTACCTTATAGTTGCATCACTTGTTGTCCCTGGGCAGCAAATTTGTTTTTGCTTTTAGACTGAATTCTGTACACTATTAGGCCAAGATTCATCAAGCCTGAAATCCCTGAGGAAAAGTAACAATTGAAAGGGGCTGTGTTAATAATATCCAAAATGACCTTTTGTGTATGAAAGGTCACAAAAGGTCACTCTGCTTAATGCGCACTGCTCTTGGTACTGCCTTCATGACGAATAAGGAGGTCAAGCTCCAAACTCTGGAAGTGCTGAATATATTAAAATAAAAATAAAGAGTGCTGACTGCAAGGAGAGTTACCTGTATTTTGAGAAAGGAGTCGTTTGATCACAAACTTAACTGATAATATCTCTTTTCAGTTTTGTTCTCTGGGAGAGTATTAGAGCTTAAAAAATGCTTGAAATGGTATTTTTGTTTTGTGGGGTCTCTCAAATATCTTCTCTAGAAATGACTTCATATTACAATAAATATGTCTCTTTGATTGTCATTTGCTGTTTTAAAAGAGTCATTTGCTCTCTGCTGGCGTGAGTGGAGAACAGATCACAAGCCATGTGAGAAGAGGCCAAGTTCTCTATATCCAAATTACCCTTTATTAAACTGCAGCCTGCAGTCAGATACAATTGTAAGAGAAAATGAACAGCAATGTTTCATTAAGCAGTGCTGTCTTTAGTAGGAGTTGGGACTTAATTCACTGACTTACCGGTTATTCTTCCAATCCCTGGCCGCCTCCTGCCAGCCTCGCCTGCCACATGTGCTCCAAGGCTATGGCCGATTATGTGAACTTGGGCTGGAGTGTAGTTGTATTTTTCCTGAGAAAATAGCAATATAAAACATTTTACTATGTCTGATTTCATCAGCAATGGGGAAGAGTAAAAAGAGACTGAAGAACTACTTCTAATTTGACTACAGACTCAGGAACTTTAGGATTTCAGCATGTTTTCCAGCTTAGGTATTCAACTCCAACACATAAATTTTCCAGAATTCCTTATTCATGTGCTACCCTCATTTGGAAACTGTTAAAACTTTAGACAGTTCTGTCAGCGGTCCTGAGACACCCTGTACCCATTTTACATCTTAGACCCATTCACAGGACACTTGCCTGGCTTGCAAGATTCAGGCAGTTTGCTGTGTCTGTGATCTCTGAATACTTAAAACTACACAACATTTTACATTTGTTAACATCCATGGAATAGCTGCTGGGCTGTAATATGGAGATGTCTTGTAGAACTTCATATCCCTAAATTGTCCAAGCCTGCTATTTTGACATAGTTCCCTACCTTTAAAAAAAAGTCTGTTTCCAGCACAACTTCTAAAGTGATCACTGAGTAGAGGAAAATGTTTTCTGCTAGTTACCTTCACATCCATGAAAGTTCCTGAATCGTATTTCTTTCAAATCAGCTTTGCAACAGTAGCTTTATAACCAGAAGATTCTTACCATAAGAACATTCACAAAATAAGCTATTTCAGCGCCCACCACACGGACGTTGTTTGATGCCTGGGTGTACTGACATCTGCCACCTTTCACCCAGGTTATGCAGATGCAGTTCACATCTTCCACAGAAAGCATCCTCTGTTTTGTGAAACAAAAGTAAAAAAACAAAGACAAGTAAACACAGTCTGGAATCAATCTGGGTTGCTTATCACAGCTCAACTCATAAATATTGCATGAGAGTTGTATGAGAACATTTTAAGAACCAAAACCTTAGCTTGTACATGAGGTCATGCCTGCTCATAGGAGTATGTGGGCTCCGACAGTGCTGAAATAAGGACATAAGGCTGAGCCAGAGTGGTGTGCTACAGAAATGGGCACACCATCATTTCCAATACCCATAGCACTACTTTTTGCAGAAGGGAAAATAATCTAAATACCGGTATTTTAAATTTTTCATTTCAAACTTATTTTGTGTGTAGCACTAAATAAGAGCTCTACTCATCCTGATTAACCCAAGTGATATAAAAGTGCTTCTTTACCTCAAATTCAATTAGAACTTATAACCTTGATGATAAAAATCAAGAGTGTTTTTCTGCTAGAGATTTGTAAGAGCATGTTTTTATAAGAGGGTGCATAAATTGCTGGTGATGCTGAATATTCATTTCAGATGTATGGCTTTACTTGGAAATATGTATGAACAGGCATATACTTTATTGTCTGCCACAAAATCTGAAGCTTTGCTTTTCTTCTCTGAGCTGGATTTTTTGGCTAAAGTTATTTTTCTTTAGAAACTTATATGTTTATTCTTCTTTGCTTTATGTTGAGCAACAACACAACTGGCAAAGGATAAAAAAGGCAATAGAAGTGTCTGTGGCTATGTTAGAAGTGGTAAAAATAAATGTACAAGTAGGATTATTACTTAATGGGAAGGAAAGTAAATAACAGATACACATAGGAAGGCTGATGCATTCACAGTCCCATTTGCTCCACTCTTTACTGAAAAGATTGAGAAACCAATTTAAAAAAAATATAGAGAAAGAATTTAAAGATTTATCTCATGCCTCTACAGCCTTGTGAAAATTGATCAAAAGGATTTAAGAGACTAGCTAAAGGAAAACGTGAGCTATCTTGTTGATTGAGAGATTCTAGAAAAAGATCTCTATTTTAAGAGTGGAAAATGGAAGGCTGAGAATTATTGAAACATCAATCGGCTTCTGATACTTTGAATAAATTGCTAACTGACACATCCAACAATCATTCCTCAATGTTCATAAAGTGACAATCAACATAGATTTTTTTTTTCTAAGAGAAACTGTCAAATAAAAATTTATTTTCTTTTGACCTAGTATCAAAGAGAAGCAGGTAACAAGGATGAAATAAATGTGAAATACATTGATTTTAGTGCACTTTCACATTGTTCCTCACAGTGTTCTCGTAAGTAGGATAGGCATATAGGATTCAAGCAAAACTGTAATTGCGTGACTATGTAGTTGAAGAACCTTATCCTAAAAGTGTCACATGCCATCGGCTGGCATTTTGTTCTGTGCTGTGTGACTAGTAGCTTTCATTAAATGCAGCTGCAATAGAAATCACACTTGTAGGATCTGAGAAGACCACAAGCTGGAATTGCAACTTTGTACGGGGATAGGACTAAGAAATAAGTTGGGGAATTAGCACAAAACTCAGTAAAGTACAATGCTTTTCTTCATTCCCTCTTCATAGCAAGGTTAAAAGCTTTGTTTGAAATGATTCCCTTGAAGCCCCTTCTAGATGTAGATTTCTACAGCTTTATTGCATCTGTTAATGGTCAGCCCATGTCCTCAGCCTCCAACACCCACGTGGCAGCTCATACCTTTGTGATGGACTTTCCACATCTAGAAACCTGTCTCTTGCTGGGCAAATATAATGCAATAATTATTAGTCTACAGTTATATTTCTGGAATTGCCCTACTTCTTAAGCAGTATCTTGCTCCAGGGTTTGTGTGTTGTTTTTTACCAAAAAAGGACACTTATTGAGCCGAGTCCTGTTATCGCTCACTTCAGTAAGAAGAATTGAATGTGTTTTAACTCACGCTTTTCCTCAATGTGCAGAGCTACATATTTAAATTACTGTCGATTAGAAAATGTGGCCTCTTTTCTCTTCTTATCACTATAAGTACCATGAAGGAAATTAGAAATAGAGAAAACAGACTGTACAGGAATGTGTTTATAAATGCAAATTAAGAAACTTCACAGGGACAGGACTGTCCTGTGGTACTTACCTTGCACATGTCTGACAGCCAGTTTTCTTCTCCATCATCTATAAATCCGTGTGTGATGAATCTGGTAATCCTACTTGTGTTAAAATTTGAGTAGCCAATTGTTTCATAATCAACCGCAGAGATCTCCTGTTGTAGATATTAAATCAATAAACATTTAAATCTGCAAATGGTTTACCATAATTGTGAAGACCTGAACTACGCTCATCTGTACAGTCACCTAAAAGTTATGCAACGTTAAACACATCTGCAAGTGTTCACATGACCATGGCTTAAGGTCTGTATCTCCATTCAAAGCAACCTTTGATACATATCTTAGGACAGCCAAGACTTTACTTTTAACATGTTTTGATGTTATCTGTGGAAAATTAACTGCCCAATGAATTTAAAAATGATCAGCTTCCCAGTACTTCTCACTGGCCATACATAAAATGTGAGGGAGTGCTGCTTTGTGAGGACTGGAGAGGGTTCTTGCCCCAGAGACTCTGTCAGGGAGCTAGAATAGGTTGCCTCTTGAGTAAAGTAGAGGTTTGGCCATTTCTAGCACTTTCCAGGAACACAGATGGTGTCTGTGTTCGTTTACTCTTTTTGCATTTGATTTAATAATATTTAAACCACAGTAGTTCTTACTTGAAAGACATTAGGATTTTGTCTTGTGTACAGGAGGAAGCGAGTATCTATCTTTTCTGGATCCCAGGGTAACTTATGGATTGGTCTTTCAGTAGTCCCAGACCATGGTATATCATCTGAGAAACATCCAAGTCTGTCAAAGCATACTTCTTTGCCTGTAGCAGACAGTAAGATAATATGAGTAAGTAAAGAAGTGGAGCAAGGTAGTCATTACTCATAGCATCTCTTCTCTGGAGGTGTCTTGGTTTCTTGAAAAGCCTGTGGTTTACAGAAAGCAAAGACCAGCAGTTTCTCTCTCTCAGATCTTCAAAGACTACACTTTACCCCAAGGAAAGAAGACAGCCAGTTCATCAAGAAAGTATTCAGTGATGTTCCTCTGTGGGCATTTTGTACTGTACCTTGGCTATCTTTCCCCAGCTGTGTTTTGCCTAAGGCAAAGAAAGCTGGAGAGTTTCTCTTGTACAAAAATATATTGAGTCTGTGCTGAACAGGTGACTATGCTGTTCATGAGAAGTCTCATGCTATACAAGCCAGTGTCTTTTGCTGAGGATAAAGCCATGCTGTCGTTAGATTGTCTCTGCCTCCCGTCCCTGGCTTTTTCATCCATTCCTGTCACTAAAGAAGAGTTTAACAAATAATTTCCTAGGTTTGGCAGAGAAATAGCTTTACTCCGAGATAGAAAATGCCAGCATTTCTTGCCCGGTCCTAGAGTGGGATTTCCAGATCAGAGATGAGGAAAGACAGCTCTCACACGTACTCATCCTACCATTCTTGTATAGGAAATTGCACTACATAAATTCAGTCGGTAAGCTTCAAGGCATCATAGTATAGAATAATACATCACAAAATCTAGCAACATAGAAAGGCTATATAAATACTAACCCCATATTCTTACCTTCTGCTGTGCTGAGCAGAAATAATGCAAGTATCCAAACTCCGAGCATCTAGAACAGTAGAAAAAGAAGCAGCTAAGATTTGCTGACCCACTTGACTTAGCTTTCTGGTGCTGAATTTTGCCAAGAGTAAAAAGTATGTGTACGTATTCTCTGACAGAAAAGGGTGCTATGTCAGTGTGTGTCTATTACCACCACGTATGAGACATTTATGGGTCAGCTTTATGTCTGCTTGCTCCACTAGATATTGTGAGGCTTGTAGATCAGCTAAAGCAGAGCTTAAATCCAAAGTGATTTTTGTTATGTTGAGGCTATGCTTCTAATCGGATGTGTAGTAGCTACTTTTAAGCTATCATAATGATATCTGTGTGAGCTGCCGTTCCCTTTTATGCTACTGGATTTGGGAAGCAATATACCAATATACCTGATACAGTAAAAGAAAACCCCAAAGCATGAACTACTTACAGTGCAGTCTTGAAGATCCATGCACTAATGTGCAAACTTTGCATATACTTTTTATAGTCTGCTTTATCCTTGGAAATGTTCCCAGAAAGATAGGAACATTTACTTCAGATTGTAGTTTATAGATAAGATGAAAAACAACTGTGATGGTTGCTTACTCTGAAAACTCCAAAAATCCATGGATGTACATATCTTGAATTGGTGTGCTGGAGCCAAGAATAGGTTTGGAGCTCCAGATGTAGGGTAATTCCCAGGCAGCAGTGCATCAGGAGTGGGACATTAAAGAGAATTATGTTTATTTCTGTAGCAGTGCGTTTAGGGGCCTACCTTGGCTAGGAAGGCTTTTGTGTTTGGCGTTGTGTAGTTGGGATGTAGGGGGGTCTACTGTGAGAGTTAGTAGGGAGGCACATTATCTTCCCTTCCCCTGCATGAAATGACTTTGCATGTGAAATACTCCTGTGCTTTTGGGTCTTTTGTGCCCATTTCCTGACATCACCTTAGTGTGGTGAAGCCTTATTCCTTTAGGAAGACTTCTTGGTGGGCCTACTATGTCTTTTCATAGTGAAAGAGTCTGACCTTCTCCTGGTGTCCCTTTCATTTTCTGGTTGAAATAAGTATATGTAGAAGGACAATCTTCTACCCCTTTGCATCCTTTCTGTACTACCCCTGTAATCCAAGTTTTGAGAAAGCCCCTCTCCCAGTGGTAAAATGAGAGCAAACATGCTGGAAATATATACAAATAACACACAAAAATTCCCCAGATGTTGCAACATGACTGCATTGCGTAGCGATGCCACAGAGCTCAGTAGGTTGTTCTGTTAGAGAAAAACAGGTTGTGCAAGTGAACAGGGTGAGGTCTGGGAACCCCTTGGTCATGCACATCTCTAGGAGAAGTCTGTAAGTGAACTTGAGAAGAAATGAGATCTCGGCTAACCTTTCACTTAGACAGGTTTGTCAGCTTGGCTATGCTTCTTGGCTGTGTTCATGTACCTTTGCAGAGTTGACGTTCCCTAACCTCCACGTCTGGGAACAACCAAATGGATATCAGCTGTGTGTGTTGTTACTACATTGCTATCATCCTTGCTAGTGGGGTTTGTTTCTTTAAGTAGCAGTGAAGTTTTTAATTTTTTCTAAAATACCACCTTTGATATCAGTGCTTCCATCCTTAAGTAGCATTTTAGTTTGTACATATCTTTTTATTCGTGACACAGAGGAATTGGTGCACGCCCTAACACACTGGTAAGCTTTAAGACTCCTCAGAATGAGGAGGCAACAGTCGTTGCCCTTTAGTTTAAGAGCAGGTGGGAAAGATCTGAGTTAGGATTTTATCATAGTTAGTCTGCAGTACTAACACAGGGTGAACAGAATAACTAGACTGTTCCTTAGGCCATGGTCAGGCAGGTTTCAGCTGCTTACTTCCCCCTTGGGAAGAAGGGGTAGGGCTGGAATGCACAGACATCAGCACAGTGTGGGCTGCTCTCTGTGCCCGCGGAGCTGTTCTGGTCCCCTCGCAGTTAGGGGCTGTTGGAAGAAAGATGACTTTTGAGAACGAAAGTGATAAATAAGGGCCCAGCTACGTTTCTGCAGTCCTGGAGAACTGCAGCCTGGAATGGCAAGCAGGCAGAGGGGAGGACTTGTTTTCTGGCACTGCAGGATTCCAGGACTCTCTCCTGGGACCCTGCGCTTCCCGGCATTGTTCATGCTTCCTTTACCACCTGTCAAGTCCCTGGGGGAATCACAGCACTCGGGACTGCAGATCAGTCCTGGCTGAACCTCAGACTTGTGCTCAATTATGCTTCTAGTTTCATACAGGCTTGGTTAGTGTTTAGTCAAGGATACAACACTGACTGTTGTTCTGTTTAAAAAAAGAAAAAAACCCTTCAGGTATTTATATTCATTATAAATACATTCGTAATACTGTATTTCTCCTCCTATTTCTTAAGAAGTTTATATGCCCAAGTGCCTGTACATAATTTATCAAACATGGAAAGATGGGAGTAAATAAACAATTTGTCTTCCTATTAATTAACATAGTGTTTCATTTTTATACTTTCTAAGTATTTTCTTTTAAATATCTACTGCCTTGGTCTCTTAAAGGTCCAAGTCCTCACTCATGCCATGCTTTGCAGAGCAGTGGTGTTCATTTTAATATGACATAGTCAGCCCCAAGTTTTTCAAAGCCTGGATTTATTCAAACTCTGAGTTTCTCTCCAAGACTGTCAGTGGCCACAGCAAAGATGTGTTTGAAATCAAATAGTAGCCAGGTCCTGCAATTCAGCTGTTTAGTTTCTCCCAAAGCAGGAAACACTTGAGGTTTACCTTTATCTTTTGCTTCCATGAAGGCTTTCAGTACTGTCCCCCATAACATCCGTGTAGGTAAACTCAAGAAATGTGGTATAGATGATTGGACCGTGAGGTGGATTGTTAACTGGCTCAGCAACA